GCCAGATATGCAGGATGAGAAACAACCGGCTGTTAGTATTGTATATTTCGTGTGGAGGGAAGGAAAGTGGACAAATAACGTTTAACTTGAGGCCGAAAACAAGGGAAAATGAATTATTTTCTTCGAGCGGTTAGGCTAAGCAAAGAGTTCGGCCTAACAGGACATGCCGTCTTAGGGGACGACTGATGACAAAATGAAATAACAGTGTTCAAGTGGACGGTGGACGAGGCGTTCATCTAGCGATAGTTGGAAAACGGTATGCGATGATGAGGATCAGATAATGGCATAACAAAATGACTTCGAGGGTAGGCGAAGGCAGAAGGAATCTTAGGAACAAAACGAGCAGTTCGCTTTTCTCAGTGATATTCAACAGTACCTGGACCTAGTACCCCAGTACCATGAAGGATTTTACACTCCATTGACGTTCCAATCATCTTGAACGGAAAAGAAATAAGGACATCGTCGTCGAAATTGGGATTCGTTTGGATCGATGATCGATCTGATCGATGGGATCGATCGACCGATCATATCGATTTTGGTAGTCGCTCTTCTCGCGGCTTCTTTCCCCTCAGTGTCTGCGTTGCAGTACAATTTTCGCAAATTTTGACCTAAATTAAAAGTTCCATTAGGAAGCAGAAGTGGATAATGGGGCGCCATAATTTGGTCATCGACCAGAAAAATGAAAATTCCCTGGGAAATCCTGAAAGCCCACTCGAATGCTGCCCATGCAATCGCTGGATTCGAGGCCCTCGAAACTGGATTTGCGAGATCGAACGCTAAAAATGAGACTCTGAGGTCTCATATCCAAAATGCACACGGTGGAAATTCCATCACATTCTCTTACTTCATTCACCTATAAAACTGCCACGTGTTCGTGAATTTTTTAATATTAAGAACCTCTTGAGATAGTTGGAGGTATGGAGGTTTTCACTGTTTTTCATCGAGAATTTAGAAATATCTGGAGTCTGACAAACACTTTTGGCATAACCGTAAATATTGCTAATTTAGGCCATTCCTCTTTCAGGAATGGCTGATGCGATCACCACGAGCGATTTTTCTACAAACAATCGACAGATGCACGTGGAAAATTTAATTTGAATCGGCTAAGAGGAAAAGCTGTTTTTTAATAAAAAAAAACCATGGACCTCACTTCGCTCTGAGGAAAAATGTCGCTCAAAAATTTAAAATTTAAAATTTTAAATGCCATCTTCCTAAATATCCATCAAACCAGTGACCATCAAACCGGAGAGTACGAATCGGGTGCCTCGCATTTATTCCTGAATTTGAAATTTCTTTTTTCATCAGTTTTAGTTAAATGTCTGGCGCAGAATATGTTATTGGGACAGCATTTCACTCAGAAACCGCCGATATTTACAGAACGAAAAATAAATGTTTTTCAGTAATGGAAACCTCGATCCGCCCGGAGACCAATAGTAGGCTTGGGTTGGACATATTCCAAGGCTTCATTTAACCTCTTCAGACCTGGCGTCCATTCCAATGGACATTGAAATTACATTGAAATTACATTTTATCTGCGGCAATTTCTTAGGATTCTCGTGACTTTGCGCTCCATATTACGCTACGATGGGCACAATTATTCATGGCTCAGTTCTATCAGAGGCCATCTTTCACCCGTCGGTTTAGTAATCTCCAGTTACTTAATTAAATGTTTAAAGTATGGTATTATATTGTAAATTTATACAAAATATGAAAATTACATATAAGACATGAATATGTCAATTACAATCGCCAAAAAGCTCAAACATGCAAAAAAGGATATTATTCAGGTCTGAAAGGGTTAAGGAATCATTTATGATGGATTATCTGAATAGGAAGGGCGATGATAGGCTTGCTGCATATTCTTTCAAAGGACTGGAGATGCGCACGCAACAACTCTAGACTCCCTTGAAGAAGTCCATTATGTGCATAAAAACGCCGATTTCTGACAGGCATGCATTCCACGGACGAATCAGTGGCGTAGCGAGGGGGGGCTGGGGGGGGGGGGGGCTGAAGCCCCCAAGTTTGGTTCAAGCCCTCCAACTCTGGTCGAAATGCGTCTGCCCCACCCCGACGAGGCGAATTTAGCCCCCCCAACTTTCCGCTTAGCTCCCCCCATTGACGAAAACCTGGCTACGCCACTGGGACAAATGCGAGTACATGGGTGGATTCCAAGTCCATCGCCACGCTCTTCAATGCGTCGACGAGAGGAAACGCGGGTGGATCCTGGGCTCTGTGAGGGCTCACATGCTCCTCACGGACCATGTGACGAATGTGACATCGGCTCACATCTGCCTCGATTAATTATTATGGGCTTACTAGGGGCTATCCTCAATAGAAATTATACGGATTCCTCTCAATTCGCTGCGTTTTATTATGAATAGGCATGGCGTAATCATACGTGATCGAACATAAATGATAAAATCGTGAATGATAAAATGCAGAAGCAGCATTCCGTCGACCATGTAGCCCCTTTTCCTAAAGGAATATCGAAACACTTTGGGGGAAGCATCATCCGGAATTCCATGGAATCATTTCACTTTAATAGGAAACGGAATTCATTGAAACGATGGTCACCTCTCGTTCTCCGCTATGGCGTATATACATGGAGTAATAAGTAATTAAGTAATCAAGTAATAAGTAATCAAGTCTGCGACGTAAATAATGCATGACTTGAATGGAAGCATCGAACTCAAGATCAAAGACGTCTGCGGCGTTGTGTCAAATAATATTTAAACATTGTAGGATTGTCAAATCCGGACGAATAAGGAGCGCACGGTGAATCGAATATGAATAAGACTCGTCAGTTTTAAAGTATTTCTTTCGCGACGATAATTGTGCATTTCTCGTTCGAAAGCGAATTTACGAGCACCAGAAGTCCAAGTAAATGCAAATATAATATAGGAACAGAATCGCATTTGAAAATATTACTTTTTCGAATGTGGAAATATGATAATATTTGGTAATAAAATTTGATAATATTTGGTAATAAAATTTGATAATATTTGGTAATAAAATTTGATAATATTTGCTGAGAGAAAAATCCCAACGGCAAAAAGGCTGAAACTACCAGTTCGATGCTCCAGATCGTACTGTGCAGAGCAATGGCCGTTTAAGAATGATCCGACAAAAAATGAAATGAAAAAAAAATGAAAATGAATAAAAGAAGCCCCCCGATCTCATTTGTCGAATCGGCGAGCGTTTTGAATGGCGAGGCGACTCCGTTCCTGGATCGTCGTGGCCCGCCCGTGCACGGCGTCGGTTCGCAGCGTGATGCCGAAGATGTCTTCGTGGTATCGGTTCTCCTCCTGCAATGGGAGGAGGGAGCCGCTCAAGGAGGGAAAACGGNAAAAGAAATAAGGACATCGTCGTCGAAATTGGGATTCGTTTGGATCGATGATCGATCTGATCGATGGGATCGATCGACCGATCATATCGATTTTGGTAGTCGCTCTTCTCGCGGCTTCTTTCCCCTCAGTGTCTGCGTTGCAGTACAATTTTCGCAAATTTTGACCTAAATTAAAAGTTCCATTAGGAAGCAGAAGTGGATAATGGGGTGCCACAATTCGGTCATCGACCAGAAAAATGAAAATGCCCTGAGAAATCCTGAAATCCCACTCGAATGCTGCCCATGCAATCGCTGGATTCGGATCGGATGCTATGCATGTTGATGCCCTCGAAACTGGAGATCGAATGCTGAAAATGAGACTCTGAGGTCTCATATCCAAAATGCACATGGTGAAAATTCCATCACATTTTCTTACTTCATTCACCTATAAAACTGCCACATGTTCGTGATTTTTTTATATTATATTAATATTAAGAACTTTTTGAGATTTTTGGAGGTATGGGGATATTGACTGCTTTTCACCGAGAATTTAGAAATATCTGGAGTCTGACAAACACTTTTGGCATTGCCGGAAATAATTTAGGCCATTCCTCTTCCAGGAACGGCTGATGCGATCCCCACGAGCGATTTTTCTACAAACAATCGACAGATGTGCATGGAAAATTTTAATTGAATCGGCAAAGAGGAAAAGCTCTATAATAAAAAAACACCAATGACCTCCCATAGCTCCGAGGAAAATGTCGATCAAAAATTTTAAATTAATTATTATTTTTTTAATTTTAAAAATGCAAATGCCATCTCCCTAAACATCCATCAAACCAGTGACCATCAAGTCAGAGAGTACGAATCGGGTGCATCGCATTTATTCCTGCATTTGAAATCTCCTTTTTATTCAGTGTTAGTTAAATATTTGACGCGAAATATGTTATTGGAACAGCTTTTTACTCCGAAACCGCTATTTCCAGAACTATAAATAAATATGTTTTTTCAGTATCCGAAACTTTGATGAACATCCGCCCAGAGACCTTATGTAGGTAACTTAGGGAGGTAACTTAGGGAGGTAACTTAGGGAGGTAACTTAGGGAGGTAACTTAGGGAGGTAACTTAGGGAGGTAACTTAGGGAGGTAACTTAGGGAGGTAACTTGGACTGAGATGAACATGCACTTGGGTTGGACATGTTCCAAGGCTTCTCTTCAGTGATCATTTATGATGGATTATCTGAATAGGAAGGGCGATGATAGGTTTGCTGCATACCTTTCCAAAGGAGGACTGGAGATGTGCACGCAATAACTCCAGTCTCCCTTGAAGAAGTTCATAGACTCACAGGGGACAAAGTGCGAGGGGACTACGTTACCTCCGACTGGAAAGTACGTGTGTCCCGCCAAAAAAAGGCACGACAATTTAATGATTGATCCTCGCGTGTGCTCAACAACGCAGATTTCTGACAGGCATGCATTCCTCGGACGAATGCGAGTACATGGCTGGATTCCAAGTCCCCCGCCACACTCTTCAATTCGTCGACGAGAGGAAACGCGGGTGGATCCTGGGCACCGCGGCGAAAAGATGTGATATCGGCTCAAATCTGTCTCCAAGAATTATTATGGGCTTATTATGGGCAATCCTCAATAGGAATAATACAAACTCCTCTCAATTCGCAGAGTTTTATTATGAATAGGCATGCGGGAATCATACGTGATTGAATATAAATGATAAAATCGTGAATGATAAAATGCAGAAGCGGCACTCCGTCGACCATGCAGCCCCTTTTCCTAAAGGAATATCGAAACATATTGGGGGAATTGCCGTCTGGATTTCAATGGAATTTCACTGTAATAGGAAATAGGGTTCACGATGGTCCCCTCTCGTTCTCGGTTATGGCGTATATAAATGAAGTAATAAGTAATCAAGTCTGCGACGTAAATAATGCATAACTTGAATGGAAGCATCGAACTCTAGATCGAAGACATCTGCGGCGTTGTGGCAAGTAATATTTCAGACATTTCAAATAATATAACAGGCGATTGTCAAATCCGGACGAATAAGCAGCGCACGGTGAATCGAATATGAATAAGACTCATCAGTTTTAAAGCATTTCTGTACATTTCTCCCTTTCGAAAGCGAATTTACGAGCTCCAGAAGTCCAATTTAACAAGTAAATGTAAATATAATATAGGAACAGAATCGCATTCGAAAATAATACTTTTTCGAATGTGGAAATATGATAATATTTAATGATAATATTTGATAATAAAATTTGAGAATATTTGCTCTGAGAAAAACCCCAACGACAGAACGGCTGAAACTACCAGTTCGATGCTCCAGATCGTACTGTGCAGAGCAATGGCCGTTTAAGAATGATCCGGCAAAAAATGAAGAGCCCCCCGATCTCATTTGTCGAATCGGCGAGCGTTTTGAATGGCGAGGCGACTCCGTTCCTGGATCGTCGTGGCCCGCCCGTGCACGGCGTCGGTTCGCAGCGTGATGCCGAAGATGTCTTCGTGGTATCGGTTCTCCTCCTGCAATGGGGGGAGGGAGCCGCTCAAGGAAGGAAAACGGTTCATCGCTCTTGATGTGTTTCGAGCAATTGCTTTTTTTTTTATGGCTTCGAAAATATTCGTGGAAGTTAAGCTGTAATTCCTCCTAGGAGGGGGCTGATCAGATGATTGACTGACTTGGAGGGAGGTCATGACGGCGTCAGCCTCTTCCAGAGAGAGGCCGCCCTGGGTCTGGATGATGTCCCTCACCGTCCGGTGAACGTCCTCGGCCATCGTGCAGTCTCCGCACACGTACATGTGACCTCGACGAGTCACCACGGTTTCGTACACTTCTGACGAGTTCTTCTTTAGGAGGTCTTGCACGTACGTCTGGTGGAGAATGGAAAGATGATTCCGAAGCCCGTGCGCACAATATACAAAATCATGGTTTATTCGTATGCCCTGTGCCATCCACATTACATGCGTTGCAATGTCCGCGTGACAGATGCAGCAGCATGGTTGTGCAGCAACATTGTTGTATCCTCCTTAAGGAACATCACGGATACACGGTTGGGAAAGAGAGACTCACCTTCGGTGTGCCCGTTTCCCTGGACACGGCGAAATGAACGCCCTTGAGAACGCCCGCAGCGAGCATTTCCCGCGCCTCCAGGTGATACAGCTTCCACGTCTTGTACCTGCAGCCGGAATACAGGACCATCCCGCCGCATGCCTCCCATTTCGCTAAACATGGAATGGGAGGTAGGATTGGAAATCTTCATGTTTTTCCTCTCGAGATGCATTGTTCATTTGAGAGTTTTGAACCTGAATGAAGGAGATTCTTGAGATGCTGGGCGTGTCTGTGTTGCCAGAAACTGCGGAAAGGGGCAATTCCGGTCCCAGGTCCCACCATAATGATCGGTGCGGACGCATCCTCTGGTATATGGAATCGTGGCGCCCTAGTCAACAAGTGAATAAATGAATCAAGAAGCGAACAGGGAAAGGCGCTAATGTAATCAAGCAATACATAAATCAGGTTTCATAATAATAAAAAACTAGCTTGGATCTCCTTGATGTTGGCACATTTTCCTTATCAAATCAGTCAAAATTTTCTGGAGAGTTTATTAATATATATTGGAAGCGTAGTTTCTTATCAAAATGGGCGCAGGAAACGAGGAGCTTCACTTACTTTCGAACAAAACAAGCGATTTGAGCTGCAGGCTTGCAGTTGCTGAGGTATCCGGAACAGACACCTCGGTGCAAATTCCCGCTTCCGCCTGCACGCCATCGAAAGGATCCGCGGAAATCGGCGCAGTTTCACTCACAAGTCGTCTGAATATTTTCTGACATTCTCAAAGCGTGAGAGAAAGACGTGAATACCTTTGGTGACGTAGGTGACGAGGGCGACGGTGATGTGAATCTCCTTGGGATGCAGAAGCGGCGAGGAGCTGATGGAGTAGAAGCGAGGCTTCAGGCTCGGCAGCTCCATCAGCAGCCTCGCCGCATCGGGGGACGCCGAGCCGAACTCCTCCAGCACTTCCCACAAGTTGGGGTAACCGTCGTGGCGCCATTCCTCGTATGCGTCTGCGTCCTGCGCGCGAGAACAGAAAGTTCTATGCATAGTGTGTCAACGGGATGCTCCATTGCAATCGAATCGGCTTGGAAAAGCCAGTGTTTCACGATACTTGTGACTGCTGTATAGTTAACAAATATCGATTTTGGAAAATACTTCATCAGTTCACATTAATTGCAGTACAAATTAGTCACTCAAGTAGAGCAGATAATTAACCTCTCGCTTCCACAGGATAATGTATTAGCACCTTTTGGTGCTCAGCAGCATGAACAGGAGGGCAGCGCCTACTCCTTCGGGATTAATTTTTAAGCACTAAATGGAAGCATGTCCGACATATTGAGACAGCAAGTAAAGATAAGGACCGAAAAATTATGGTGCTTCTTGTATCTGGAAAAAAAAGCTGGAGTTACGTATCCGCCATTCGCGGCAATGGAGCGAGCCTTTTTGCATTCAGTCCCTAGTAAACTTCAGTTTTAAATATTGTCAGGTTTTTCAAAGAGTTACTGGACCATGGTTTTAAGAGATTGGAAACTCTCCCCAGTAGCAATATAGGAAAACTCGGCGCTTTGGGGAAAGTTTCATTTGAGAATGAAATATCTGGCAGTTCTTGGAGGAAGATGATTTAAGGGAAAATGTGTTGCTCGATTAACTTGGCTTACTGATGCCGGGAAAAACCATAAAGACAATTCCAATCACCCGTTTCCCATACCGTAGCAAGATGGAGGAGACGTTCCCGCTCTTGAGGATCGGAAGCAGAAGAGGAGAGAAAATGAAGAAGACCAGGCGTGGGAGGCGTGCAGATGTCCAGGTGTCTGGACAGCAGCTCCTCGACAGTTGCTGTCCCTACGGTTTCCACGTCCTCCCACACTTTCGCCAAACCTATTCAGAAATCCGAGGGACGTGATCTGGATGAGTCCATTTTGCGCAGCAAGATCTTTTAAGACCGCGAAACGCAGTTCTCACCATTGGCGGAGAACTTCTCGACGAGCCGCTGCAACCGAACGGGGCAATCCGACGGCGGCAGACCCTGTAGACGCGACACGATCCGCTTCACCAGCTCCTCCTCGTTCACGGGGAATATCCCCAGGTGATCTCCAGGCGCATATCCCCCGAACTCCTCCCGCCCTCTTGTGTCCATTCGGAGCAGCATGGTCTCCTGTCTGGAGACGATCGAGGAGAGAAATACCTCCGATTTAAACGATGGAATTACAATCATTAGGACAATATTTTGTTACCTTGGATTCGATTTTAACCATTCTTAAGACGTAGAGCTAAATAAATTTCTATGTTTTAATTTTTACAATTAAAACTAGGATATGTGGCTTTCATGTTATTGCGATGCTCCGTTTTTGCCGCAGCAAATGTAACACTTCCAAGAATTTGAGGCCATGAGAAAGAATCGTCCTGCTGAGGATAGGTCCACCATACTACAATAGTCCACCATACTACAATATCTTAGATGCAACTACGTCTGACTGCTGGAAGATTTTTCGCCATTCCGGTGAAATAATTTTCTTCCGTCTCACTTTTCTGCTTTTAAGAAAATATGGATATATTTTTGGGGATTAGATCTTTTGAGTTTCTGCAGCTAAAACAAAACGTTTTTTTTTTAAGTGCAAATATTACTGACGAAATGGCACTAATATCCAAGAACTTCAGTCCCAATATTTTTTATTGCCTAGAGACTCCCAAACACCCGAGGGACTCACTCATTGGTGGGGAGCAGATTTTCTTTGGAGAGAAGCTGGCAAGGGAAGACCTTCCGGCCTCCAGAGGACTCGGTCAGGCCTGGAGAACGAAATCCCACAGAATGGGGTCTCTGCATTAGTCTAGGCTCATCAAATGTACCAACGTCACTTATATACATATGGGATTTACGTGATCTTTATTACCAGTGAAATGTTTCGAATGGTGACACTTTCGTTTGTTGCGCGATTTTTTAAACTTTTGATTCATTCGATTGCTCTGAGTTATGCTTCAGTTTTAATTGCTTTAAATTAACCATTTTCGCTACTCAAGGTGTGTCGCACGAAAGTGTAGAATCAGGCAAAATCGTAGACCGAATATAATTTTCGCATCCGCACGTCTGCCGATCCGAGCACTATTGAGACCAGAAAATAGTCGTTAAGAGATTCCTTACACTTCCAGAGATCGTCCCTCTCGTCTTGCGGTTGGAGACGGACTTCGAGAACTTCCCCGCTGACGGATTCCGAAACGCCCAGCGCGTCCCCCAAGTCGAAAGTGCTGCACGACGCCTATACCCGCAGAAAGAACCATCAACTAATTGCATTCGGAATGAGATCGGAATGAGATCGGAATGAGATCGGAATGAGATCGGAATGAGATCGGAATGAGATCGGAATGAGATCGGAATGAGATCGGAATGAGATCGGAATGAGATCGGAATGAGATCGGAATGAGATCGTATGAGGTCGTTAGCGACACCACCTTGAAGACGTCAGGCGCCCAAGCCGCGAAGGAGAGATCCTGCCCGCACATCTCGTCCCCATACGCCAGGGGGAGGATCCTCTCTCCGCCCAGCTCCCTGAGCAGGTTGTCCACGTAAACCCCGAAGGAGGCGAAGTTCGGGTACGACGACGATCCCAACGCGAACACGGCGAACCTGCATTGTGCACATTGAGAGGCTCCGCTGTGAAGCGCTTGCCTAGATTAGACTCAATATTTAGCGGTTATTTTTGTCAACATGGTCTATATGAAAGACAGTCAAATCAAAAAGCGAAATTGAAATATTACGATTCTGGAATCGGCTTCCATTTGACATGTGACGAAGATGCAAATACCTGATGACTAATTAAATACGTTATTTGATGGAAGTTCCCCTCTCAAGTGATCCTTTCCACTCGTAAAACGACAATTTTTGAGAATGTCCAATGTGAACTTAATTAAATGCGATTTTAAGACCAAAAAAAGCGAAGGTCCTCTCTCTGTTAGCCTCGTATTCCGTCGAAATGTAGTAAGGCAAATTGGGAGTTTTTAATTAGTGTAATTATTTGATTGAGAATTACTCGATAAGGAGTTTGAGGCGTTTGAAACGACCTGACGTCGCAGAGCGGCTTGAGAGCGTCCACGGCGACCGCCTTCTCCTCGCGGTGTTCCCCCCCTTGGCTGCCGGATCTCACCAGGGTTCGGGAGTTGAGTCGTCTGCGGGAGAGGACCACCGTCAAGGGTGAAATATGTAACAATTATATATAACAATTGGAGTTAGGAGGTGGAAACAAGCGAAACCGGTCCTGCTGTTGGTCGTGATGAGGAATATGATATGAAACTGTTTCTGAGTAAATCTTCATCTCGTAGATTAGAATTTGTTACCATTAGCCGCTTTACCTGAAATTCTGAGCTTAGTATTAGAAAGTTGGTCGGTCCAACGAAAAGTGTCAATATACCCAGCAAGAGAACTACTGCAGACTTCAAAATTATGGAATGATGGATGCACGATGGCTTCCTGGAAGTGCCCTCAAGTAGATCAAGTATTTTCTTTATCATAAGATAAAGAAAATACTGCATCTACAGGCGGACATGTGAAAAGCCTAAACTTCACTCAGGCAAGTTATCAAAAATGAAGCGCTGGCAATACGTAGAGTCGACGTCCGTCCAAAGAGACAATTCCATTCGAAGTGAAATCGATCAGTTCTTACTTGATGCTTTCGGGGCGGCCGAGAGACTCTCCCATCTTCATAGCGTGCAGCCACTTGGCGAATTCCTAAGCGAGAAAACGGAAATGCATGAAAATCCCTGCGCGGAGAGTTGGGAGGAGGTGAGATGGAGGATGGGGATACCTCTCCGCTCTCGGGAGGGTCGCCGTTGCCGGTTGTGCTGGTGACCACGAGGACGAGGGACTCGTGCTTGAGGTCCGCGATGTTGTAGTCCGACATGCAATATATCTGATGACGAAATCTCATTTTTAATTTTTTTGCTTCCATCAAATCGTGGAAACGTTGCAGTTTTATGTTGGGTTTTCTTTTTGACGCAGCACTTCGAAAGAAAATTGTGGAGAACCTTTACTCAATGCAGTTATACATTCAAAAGTTGTTCGCATGAAGAAAGGATTCCATCTATAAACAAGGATTTAGTTCGCGGGGAACAGGAACCGAAAAGGTATAGACCTTTCCGGAAAAGCAAAACATTGCTAAAAGATGCCAACAGGTCCGATGGAAACTCACCTGGGAGTTGAAAGCTTGGGCGAAGAGGGAAGTGAGCTTGGAGGCGAATCGCTCCGATCGCCCCGTCTCGCTCGCGAACAGGATCGTCGCCTTGATCCGTCGGAGGAGGGCTTGTTTGTACATCATCGACGAGAATCTCACCGCCCTGAATTATTATTTGCAGTCATTCTTGGTTTCGCAGAAAAGCGCATTGAGATGGATCAGGGTTGCGAAGGATTATGTGATATATAATTCAAATTCTTCGGAAATTGTAAGAATTATTGGATTGCAATGAAAGTGTGAACTTGCGAAGAGGCGGATTGTAGTTGGCCACAAGAAAGAATATCAGGTTTTCATTCAACTGCAGGAACTTTTCCCGCAATGATAACATAACTTCACACGATTGTAAACAACAAAGGAGATGAATCCATTCGCATGACGCAATGACAAAGACAGAAAGGGGGAAAAAAAGGGAGAGATACCTGGCAATCTCTCGGAAAGTAAGTTTTCTCCTGGAACTTGGGGAACCAAGGGCGTTCCTTCCACGTTGCCAGACGTGGCTTTTCCACGGTGGAATCTAGATAGGATCAAAGACGCACTCATCGGATTTCCAATTGAATCCAATGAGGAAGGAATGAAGCGGGAAAGGGACGAGGGAGCTCCACCTGGTATTCGAAGGAAGGACTGAGGTGGTAGAGGGCCATTTCCTGG